TCATGACATGTTTGACTCACCCGACCCTCATGCCTTCCTCAATGTCCGTAGGAGCCACCTGGTCACTCAGGTCCACCACAAACTTGGCAAACTGCTTCACATTGATGATGTATTTGGGGTCCTCTGAGTCTGCGTTGATGATCTTTGTGCATCTGTGAGGAGCAGCAACAAAGGTAAATATCAACAGATTTGTCAGCAGCACCGAAGCAGGCTAAAAAAAATGAACAGAATGCTAATCATCCTCGTTTACTTTATTATTTAATTATTGACTTTTTAACTTTGTTGGTTTTACCTTGCCACCTGTAGTGGTTGTTCACTCTGCAGAGTCTGTTTATCAGCAGCCAGGTCCCAGAGAGCTGGTGGGGCCAAACCAGTGTCTGACTCCTTGATTCCTGATGTAACAAAAAAACAAACAAAAACAAATCGTTTTTCTAATCTGCATGAATCTGAGAAAACCAGAGCCAGTGTTCTCTAAACAAACGGTGCCGTTCAAATGTTGGTTAATAACCTACCTGTGAGCTCATTGATCTTTTTGAGCAGCTGTTGGATGTCATCCTCTACTTGTTTGATCTGTCTGGAGTAGGTGCTCTGACCCTGGTAACGTGAACAACAATGGAACTCGTTTTACAACAATTTGGACCAAATCAAACCTCATACACGAGAACATCACAAAAACAGCTGAAGTTAAACTTACATATGTCTTTAACAGTGCGATGTCTCCTTCATCCAGAGCTGTAATGAAGATAAAAAAACATCATTAGTGGCTGTGCACGATGACATTGTCGTTGAGTCGTTAGCATTGTTGTCAAAGTGAACTGTACTTTGTATTTACGTCTACAACTTTCGTTAAAGGAAATATTTTCCATATCTCGTACAATATGAACATTGATGTTCCATTCAGAAACACAAGTGTTTTTAAAAAATAGATAGTTAAAGTAGGTACTTAGCAAATTAGCATTAGCCAAATAGCTAATACCGACGTTTCTATGGATAAATACCCCTCAATCCGCGTTATAAGCTCGTTTTAAAAGTGTACCTCTAATGGGACCGTCGTCCTTTTCTTCCTCTTTAATCTTCCTCTGGTCATCTCCTAAATAATCCGGCATTTTTACAACGGTTAACTAGTTTCTATCGCACGAAAGATATCTTTCAGCGGCTCCGCTGTACAATTACACAGCAGCTTTGCATTTCCGCTTCTTTCTGCCAGTCACCGGAAATACATGTCGGTGGCTTTTAGAAACGTACCTCCAAGTAAAATACATTTTCCGTTAAACGCCGAATTCTCGATATACGTGGAATAGATTATATTTACAATTAATAATTATTTTTTT